ATCCAAACATTACAGTGCGACTGTGGCTAACCCACACAGGTGTGTGAGTAGAACAGTCTTCTAGAAGGGAGTAGTAATACTTCTGTGTCAGAGTGTTTGCAGCTACAAGGTAACCTCCTTAAGAGCAGAGTTCAAAACTGTTTTGAACACAGTGCCTAATACAGTGTTGAACATGTGGCAGATACTCAGAATTATCATATATTTTTGATGTTTACAAAACACAGCAAGAGCAGCTTACTCTCTTTCACCATTCTTATTTTATCATAAAATATTTATGTATTAGATAGAGTTCACGGTTCTCAAAATCATTTGAGATTTTCCCTTGTTCACTTACATTGTTTCTATGTAGAGAAAAGCATATAAAGATGTAATGCTGTTCAATTCTCATTCTAGAATTGACTAGACAAAAATAAAATTAAGATTTTCCTTAGATCTGCTTTAAAAGAAAGGAAGACGAGTTAGGCTATAGATTACTTTGGTCAACTATAAACAAGATCTCTCTAAAAATGTAAAACTAAAAACACAATTTTATTATAAATATCTTTTTTCTCACTGGTTAGTTTTTTTAATTTGAGAGCAAGACTCTGTCTCCCAGGCTGGAGTACGGTGGTGAGATCCCAACTCGCTGCAACCTCCCACTCCCAGGTTCAAGCAATTCTCCTGTCCCAGCCTCCAGAGTAGCTGGGATTACAGGTGTCTGCCACCATGCCCAGCTAATGTTTCTGCATTTTTTAGTAGAGATGGGGTTTCACCATGTTGGCCAGACTGGTCTCGAACTTCTGACCTAAAGTGATCCACCCACCTCGGCTTCCCAAAGAGCTGAGATTACAAGTGTGAGCCACCACGTCCAGCCTAGTTTTTGTTGTTGTTTTTGCTGCTGTAGTTTAATTTTAATGGTTATTTCCAGTCATCATGAGTTCTGTTCATATCCTTGAGATCAATTTTGTGACTTTACCTAAAATCAACTAATCTACTCATGAGTCATATTTCATACTGCAAGGTATAATCTATTCATCTAGTTCAGGGATCGTCATACATTTTCTGTAAAGGGCAAGATAAGTAATTATTTTAGGCTTTCTATGCCAACATGGTCTGCATCATAACTTCTTAGTTCTGCTGTTGTAGAGTAAAAGGAGCCACAATTTATACTCAAATGACTATGGCTGTGTTCAACTAAAAACACACACACACACACACACACACACACACACAGTGGACCCCATTTAAACCATGGCAAGAATTTGCCAACATCTACTTAAGTTTTTATTTTTACTTTTATTATGAAAATTTTCAAATATACACAAACCATATACTATTAGATTTAACAGTTGTCAATATTTGCCATTTTTTATCTATTTCATTGCTGAATTATTATGAAGAAAATTTCCAACATCATGACATTTCACACCAACATAATTCACATATCTGTAAAAATAAACATAATATGGCTGGGCACAGAGGCTCACGGCCGTAATCCAAACACTTAGGGAGGTTGAGAGGGGTAGACCACTTGAGGTCAGGAGTTCGAGATCAGCCTGGCAACATGGTGAAAGCCCATCACTACTAAAACTAAAAAAAATTAGCCATGCGTGTGGCTCGCTCCTGTAGTCCCAGCTACTTAGGAGGCTGAGACACGAGAATTGCTTGTTCTGGGAGACAGAGGTTGCAGTGAGCCAAGATCGAGCCACTGAAATCTCGGCTCTTTTGTCCAAACCAGAAATCATGACCAACCAGACATTGCATGCATAAAATGAAGCCCCCAGCTCCCAGACGTCTATGTGTGTGACATTGACTCTTTGAAGAATTTTAAACCATTTGAGGAATTTTAAACAATGTGAACAAGATCTACAATCAATATATCTCATAGGAATATTAATACAGTATAGAGGCAAACACAAAATTTTATTTAATGCCCAGCTTATTTACTTCAATTTCTTCACCATGTTTAAGGTTTTTACCTTTCACCTATTTTTTTAAACAATTTGTAGAGTTCATCAGGTTAATTTAGAGACACATATAAAACTAGAGGTTCACACATAACATCAAAATATAGTTAACAATAATTTATTCTATATTTCAAAATAGCTACAAGAGAACTGTAAGCTTCCCAACACAAAGAAATGATAAAGGTTTGAAGTGATGGATGTCGCAGTTGCCCTGATTTAATCATTGTAACACTGCATACAGATATGAAAACATCACATGCACCCCAAAGACATGTACAGCTATTCCCTACCAATTTAAAAATACTTTATTGCCAAAAGGAATAAAAAGCCCATTCTGAAGAATTTCTCTGAAGTATGAGTTCATGCTATGGATGCTATGTAAGTGAAGGTGGATAAAACAGTTACTGTCATTAGGCTTGAGAACTTCTAGACCAATAAAATATGTTATCTTTAGTTAAACATGCTGATGATTTTGTTTTGCAAAATTATTTTTATAGGAGATGATTATTATGTTTTCTTAAAAGGTATTGAAATATTTCAAGTTAACAACAAATATAGAAACACAAACATTTAAGGTACATTCTGGAGTTTGCAGTGACTTATAAAAAAGAGGAATATCCTCTTCTCTAGAGAATTCTGGCCCCTATGGAAAACTTTGTCAGCTCACCAGGGAAATTCCAGACAAAAAATCACCCCATATCTCATAAAATTTCCATGAAATGAGAACTGTTCTATGTACGTGGAGGCACACATACAAAACAATGTTCAGAGTGAAGAAAGGAGTTCACTGAGATGGGAAAGAAGCAACAGTGTGATGAGAGGTTACAGATGAGGTTCTTGGAAGAAAGAAGTGAAAACAATGTGAATACGGAAATGGAACAGTTTCTGTTGCCTGTGCTGTAAAGTATCTTAACTCACTGGCATTAGGAAAGAGGACCACCAAGTCAGGAAGAGGGACAGGACCAGCTGAGATAGGAGTACGTGAAGGAAAGCTAATTAAATTTGCTAATTGAAAGCTGGAGCAAAGATCGAGTTCTCAGTTAAGTAAAGGCATAGAGTAGATTGAAGGAGATGAGGTTGTCAAAATGAGAAGGTCCTAAGGCTTGGCATAAGACACAAGATAGACCACGAAAGCAATGATGTCTGTATTGTTTAATATGGTAGCCACTAGCCACATGTGGTTATTTACATTTAAATTAAGGAAAGTTAAATATTCCTTCTTCAGTCATAATAGCCATATTTTTAATACTCAGTAGTTACATATTATATGTGGCTACCACATCAGACAGCATAGATAGAGAATATTTTTGCATTGTAGAAAGTTCTACTGGATAGCACTGTTCTACGGACATTAAAGTGAGTAAGAAAGAGAAAAAGGCAGGGAAGGAGGCAAAGGAGAGAAAGTGATTCGTACATTCCCTCTCCTGCTGTGTTTAACATTGCATTGGCTCTCATGTGACTGGCGAGACAGTCGTTGCTCTGCAGTGTTGGAGTTCTATCACACCTCCTCTCCAGAAAGACGCTTGAGAGGTTGCTGCTGCCTTATGAATCCTCTAGTCAGACAGGATTGGTGGAGCAAGGCATTGAGTTAGGGGTGGAGCCAGGGTTGGGTTTAGGGAAAGGTAATTTAATAGTAAAGAAGGCCCCCGTACATGCCCAGCCATCATGCCCAGAATCTAAAGTGCATAAAACATTGACTTGCCATTGGAAAGCTGCAAGAGTAGGTCCTGTTGTCTCTGGTGCACAGTAATTCTTCTGCTATTCATGGTCAGAAAACCTGATACTAATACATTGCTCAGACTAAGTCACAGGTTGAGACAGTCTATTTTACTTGACATTTCTCATTAGAGAAAATTGGCCAGCTTATCTTTCTAAATTTCATTTATTGACATCTGCCATTTCCAATCATAAGTATTCTTATTCACTGCAAATAAACATGGGCAGCTTGTCTCCTTCCCTCTACACTCTATGATGAATAATATGAAAATTCAAGCCACACATCTCCTTTGCTACAAATCTGTAGTGAAATGACAGCAGCACTCTATAGACGCTCTGACCTGCAAAGATTTTCTTCCTTTTGGAGACATTTTGAGTAACTTTTTAACGATAATCAGCATCTTATCAGATAGGTCTCTTGTTCCAAGTAGCCATTGCAAACTAGGAGGGCATCCAGTGTTTATGAGCTTCCTGCCACTCACAATATTTACACTAGACATTGCCAGGGAAAGAGAAGAGAGACAAAAAATATGTCCAACTGTTGCCTTGTGAAGGTTGCTATTTATTTTCACAAACCTCAGGGCTGCATTCAGTTTCCCATCTACATGTGTAGGCAGCCATTTCTTCAGTGTATTCCCTATGATCTAATTGGCTCACTGTACAGATTCTTGGCTCTGTGCTTGGGAATCGTCATTGACTTTTAACCCATCTCACCTGCAGAGCAGCTTTCTGTGTTTCCATTAGTATTTCAGGCACCAAATCTCATTTCAAAAATTATCGTCAGGATTTTAATTGGTGGTTCTCATTATTCACCCTTAATTAAGTTTAGTAATATTTAATGTTTGTTTTGTAGCATTTTAAAAAGAATCATAAAGAGAGAAAAATAATTAAGGAGAGAAAATAATTCCTTCAGAGGGAAAATGGAGGATTCCTTGGACTTAAGTCTGGTCAGTTAATGGGAATTAGGAGTTATGCAGAGGATCTAATAATTGTAAGTATCATTGTTTTACTTGTTTGAATTAATAACTTTAAAAAACCCCTCACTCTCACATTAGCAAATTTTCAGTCTTGTAACAAGTGAAAATAACTGAAACTTTCACAACATCTACAAAAATGGAAAGTTTGTAATTTTCTACTATGACCTGAGGGTTTGGCTACAAACAGATAATCGAATAATAAGATGAGGGTTCAAGTTATACCTGCCTATTTAATATGGGGAGAAATTAAACCACTTGTAAAGACAGCCTGGGATGAGAAGCCCCTATCATCTGTATAATCCTCCATATTTCTGTTCACTTTAAGTGCCTGCCACCGAAAACCTTCAGTAAAGGAGTGAATCTTCTTTGCCCCATCAAGAGTTGCTTCTCAGGTGGAAGAAGGGTGTGGCCCCAAGTTTTTACCTGGGAGCAATGATGATCTTGTCGAGCAATGATGATCTTGTCAAGCATTTCAGCGAGACCAGCCCAAGTTTTTAGGGTGGGGATCCAGACTGGTTATACGTACCTTCAGTACTTCTCCCAGAGGAAGGCAGAAACACCTCAAAGCCTGCATGTAAGAACATCTACTGAGAAATTATTTTAATCAGACACCAGCTGAGTGGGAGAAAGAAAAAGAACAGAGAACAAACAAAACTCCCTTGGTCTTGGATGTAAGAGAATCCAGCAGAGATGGACTGGAGTTTCTTCAGAATAGCTGCAGTGCTGTTCATTTTTCTGGTGAGTGGATTCTGGTAAAAATTTTTCAAAATCATGCTCATTGTAAACAAGTGGAAATGTTTTAGAAAATGTTAGTAGGCATTATTTCTAACGTAAACCCATTAAAAATGTGTGTTAATGACAAAGTGATTTTATGAACTAGATTTTTCAATCAGCATTTCACTCTTTATTTGAAGATTCAAGACCACGTTAATGCATCAGTGTCAATTCATTATATTACATCTCTGACATTGAAGTTGTTGCTAAGCCATGCTGGGAAAATACTGAATTTAGGAAATTCCTATCACTAGTTAGTAGCACTTTGTGGTCCAAAATCTCTTTTGCAAGAGGGTTTTTAAACTAATCAAGTGTGTCTGGATTTTTAACCTAAATATTTTTTCATTGGTTCAGTATCTTTGGTGTTGTAATTACTCGAATTTTTAATACATAAAAATAGCATCCACATAATTTAAAATCATAGCAGTTTGTGGCTGACCTCACTATCCAAATAATCTTGTCAGTTGCATACTTGGTTAGAATCTATACCACTATTATCAAAAGCCCTGCACTGTTTACAACTTTATTTAAAACATTTTAAATTTCAAAAAATGGCAGTATAGGAGGTTTATAAATGACATATTAAGTGAAGAAGTGGCTATAATTAAAGAGTAAGTATAATTATTATTATACTCGATCTTACAACTGGAATGTCAGTGATGATAGCTGTGGTACAAAAGTTGTGTACTTGATGGTCAGACAAATGTAATGAAAGACTTTATCATTGCCCCCTTACATGTAATTAGTTTTCTCTTTGTAGAGATAATATTAAGTGCACCACTAATGTATTGTGTCAATTTCACTTCAGTGAAAATTTGAAAATTGTAATCTCCTTCACAGTAAGGTTAACGTAATTCAAAAAGGCAGGTGCCAAGTAAATTGCCCTCCAGCTTGGCAGGATGTACAGTGTTGTTGTTCACATTTGTTTCTACTTGCTTAATTTTTCAACTGGAATGTTGAGTTGGTATAATAAGTTAGATCTTTGATTCAAAGTATACTGGTTAGTTTGAATTCAGTTTTTTAATTAAGGCAGGACATAATACTTGGTTATAAATAACCATAAATAAGCTGGTGGCTTTAGTTCCAAGCTTCCCTTCAAACATTAGTACTATCCCATGGACTTTTCAGTCGATATTTAGGATCAGGTGATTTCATTACTTAGGATTCAGTAGGATCACTGAGCATTACACAGTATGTCATTTGAAATACAAGACTTTCATATTGTCAATAATCAAATACTTTCACTTAAAGTTTCAGATAAATTTGATCCATTAAGAGCTATTATAGTTTTAGTTGAGCAGCTTGTTCAGACAGAAACACAATTACTTTCTTTTTTTTTTTTTTTTTTTTTTTTTTTGAGACGGAGTTTCGCTCTTGTTACCCAGGCTGGAGTGCAATGGCGCAATCTCGGCTCATCGCAACCTCCGCCTCCTGGGTTCAGGCAATTCTCCTGCCTCAGCCTCCTGAGTAGCTGGAATTACAGGCACGCGCCACCATGCCCAGCTAATTTTTTGTATTTTTAGTAGAGACGGGGTTTCACCATGTTGACTAGGATGGTCTCGATCTCTTGACCACGTGATCCACCCGCCTCAGCCTCCCAAAGTGCTGGGATTACAGGCTTGAGCCACCGCGCCCGGCCTAATAACTTCCATAGAGTCTCATTCTTGATTTACTTATTTTTAATTAATTACAGCATATAAAATTTCTTTAAACAGTCACTTTCTACTTACTCATTCTTCAATAAAATGTATCATCATCAATATCATATATCTTTATTGAACTTTCTCTGGCTCTGCCTAGATTTTTTGTTGTTGCTTTACGGGAGGTTTTCAGGAATAGGTGAAGAGGAGGTTACCATATTTTATATTGAAATCAATCACAACTCTCTCACATGGCTTATGAAAACTATTTCTCAAATAACTTACACTATAATGAATTACAATGTTTTATTTTTACATTGACATCATAGCTTTTTTTGTAAAGCATTTCACTTTTTAAGTTTTGGAAGATCAAAATTTATTTTAACTACTGTTTTTATCACATAGAACAATTTTGATAATTGTCCTTTGGAGTTTCCTAATCTCTATTTTTCTTTAAAATACTTCTTTCTTTATAAAACAACCACCACTATAGCATATTCTTCTAATTACCTTTCTTCTAGTCTCATTATAAATGCTTCTTATACGCAAAAAAAAATTTAAAAAAATATGTAAAGTCTTTATATTTATCTCTACTCAAAGTCAATAAGTGAGAATCTGCATTAGGATGAATGTTTGTACAATTGTTAAGGCCTTTAAGACATTTAAATTGGTAGTATCTTTAAAGCAAAGAGAACTGAGTATCTATCTGTTTGCAAGCATACTGTATATTCAGCTCAATGCATCCGAAGGTTGTGAACCTTGTTGAAATGAGTGGGTTGAATCAGAAAGAACAAAGCTGGAGGAGCTGCTCTTATAGCCAAGATTGCTCTGTGGCTATTCTATTGTTCTGACAAGTCTCCTGGACAGACAAGAGGTTACACCTGCTATAACACTGCAAGTCAAACATATTTTGTTAATTCTGCATCTATTTTGCTTTCTTCTTTTTATTTCCACACATTCAGTGTATGGAGTAGAGGAAGGAGTTAGAATGTATTTTCTCTAGGCCGGAGAATGATGCTTCCTATGCACCAAATAAAAGAAATCTGTGTGGATGCATGTGACAATGGTAAAAAGTACAGCATGGTCACTGTGAGAAAGCAAAATAGAGCCAGCAGGGTTTCCATGGCTTTAATGATTTCTGAAAATTACTTGCAACTTTGCCAGATCCAATTAGTTCATTCAAGTCAACACAAATCTGAAGATGTGTTTTTCTAAAAAGGCAAATTTCTATAGCTCAAGCTCAAAGGATAGAGAAAATGACTTTTCTCTATGACCATAAATGATCTGATTACTTCAGTTCATCAACCTATTCCCCCTCTGTCTATGGATTAACATTTCCAGAGCAAACAAGCAAAACACCAACCTTCTGACCACCTGATAAACTAACTCCACAGTTTGAACTGAACTGAAATTCTGTAAAATATGGCCAGGAGTTTTTAAGAGTACTTTCAGCATTCAGGCTAAAATACACAGAAAATAATATACATTTTATTACATAGTTCCTAAACTTAATTGAAGACATCTTAAGTCCCCATAATTGTGTTCACAGGTGCCTAAAGCAAGAGAAAGACTATCAAACTAGAACAGACCAAACAGAAGACAAGCAAAAGAGAGGGGGCTCTTTGTGCTTTCTTGAGCATGTATTGTAGTGACACATATCATAGACATTAGTTTTTCAGTAAAACATTTTATAGAAAATGGAAGGGCAATATTTTTGTTCATGTATTCAGTGAAACTTACAAATTGCATTCAAGTATTATTAACATTCATATGGTGTTCATAAAACCTTTATTATTCCGCTGCAGATTTAGGATTAGCATCTTCAATGACCTTTACAGAAACAGGGAGTACAAATTTATCATCGCTCAATTGGTTTGAGTTGTCACAGAGCAAAAACATTTTGTCATCCCTGTTTTAGGAAACAGTAGAACCTAAAACACTGAAGAATACTGCCTTAAATCTGAAAAGCTGACCCAAGGAGTAAGATTTACTTGTTTAACAAATCTTAACAATCTAGAAAAAGGACACTCTCATCTATATTCAGAGCACTTAATTTCTGATAACTCTTTCTCCACTACACATTCATCAAAGACATGGTTTCTGAGTATCCCTGTGTCCTAATAGGAATTGCCTAATATATCAGCAGAAAGTCTGCTCTGCCAGGCATTGCAATTAGATTTATAGTGCTCCCTTAACTCAGGGAACACCCTTGCACAGTGCTGGGTCGGGCCACCCTTGCTGATTATGCTTGATATGCAAATTCCTTCAATAGACTTAGGCAGGTCAAATTTTTTTGAATGCCATTGGCTACTGATCCATACTCTTAATTGGTCTATGAGAATAGGGCACAGTTTTTCATACTTGTCTAATGAGAAACCATATCTCTACAAATTAATAGTTGCCTATTGCTCATAAAACTACATGACTGTACATTATTTGAAGGCAGGTTCTGGGTCTGATTTGCCTTTGTATCCCTTATAGTGCCTTGCACTAGTGCAAGATTGCTCAGTACATGTCTCACCACACACAGCAGAGGTACCACAGGAAATTTTGGATAGTTTATACTACTCTTCCCCCACACACTCCAAAAAATTAGCACGCTATTAAACACAGAAATCACAATACTAGATTTCTTCAACATTTTAATGGTATAGTAATAAATTCACTTTGCATTTCATCTGAGGCTTGCTATAATATTTTTAGGCCTTTAAAAGTCTTAATCTAGCATTGGATCCACATAATACACATTCAGTGAGTACTTGTAAAATAAACAAATGAAAAGAATAAATTAGAGAAATCAACCCATTGAGGTGTTGTCAACCCCAGACTGACACTCTTTGTCAGAGCAATACAAAGGAAAACATAAGAGGTTTTTAAATAAAGAAAATTGTCATATTTTAGCTTTGCTTTAAGTGCATCTTTATGATGTATATAAAAATTAACAATTACATTAGAGTCGAATGCTTAGCAAAAAGTAAACACATTAGAATTGAATGCTTAGCAAAAAGTGGCTTGGAAGACCATCTTACAATTATTAAATGCAAGAGATTTTTTTAAATAAAAGTGGCCTGTTCCTCAAACCCATTTTTATTATGTGCAAAGAAGCATGAACTTCAATATTAAAAAGAAAAACATTAAAAATTACTATAATTGGGGATTTATTAAAATTAGCCTGCAGTTTCTTTCTCCTGTAGCTTTTAAAAAGTACATAAATTGATTGGTTCCTAAAACAGAAATGAAGAGAAAACCCATTGAGGATGCATTTCCGGTGAATTATTTACTGTTTTCATAGAATTTTAGGACTAGAGGGGACTTGTAGTCCCATATACAACTGAGGAAACTGAGGCACAGATTGATTTAATGACTTACCTCAACATCCATACCCACTGGGCAAGATAGCTGAGATATACTCACTCAGATATACTGACAATCCCTGTGTTCATCTCTAGGTAAATCTCCATCACAGCCTCCATAGCACACACTCCAAACTCATTTCTGAATCCAAACTTCTCCCCTAACTGCCAGAAAATAACCTCACCCTTACTGCAGGGACAAGGTCTGGGTCATTTAGGAGAATGTCCTCCAATTTCCCTTTCCTAATTGATTGATTTTAATCTCCATCCACCTCACCCTTACTACAGGGAGAAGGTCTAGGTCATTTAAAATAGTGTCCTCCAATTGCCCTTTCCTAATTGATTGATTTTAATCTCTAGCTTTCCTCTCTTCCTTGCGTTTGTCTTTGAAGTCCTTTCTTTTTCTGCCCATTCTCTCCTTCTCTTTTTATCACGACACCTCTATAAGAATCTTCTTTCTGAACATTTCTTCTTTTAAATCAAGATCTCCTCCTAGCCTCTAAAAATCCTTAGGTTCCTCTTTCTCAAAAAATGTCCTTGAATGCTATATCTGAGTCTACCATCTTGTCCCCCTGTTCCCTTTTATCACCAGTATCTTGAAAAAGTGACCATCTTTATGTCCTCCTCTCCACCTCTTGCTCCCTAATCCCTTGCTGTCAAACAGCTGCATGCTCCATCCAGCTAAAAATATTCTCTTGAATGTCACTCAGAACCTCAGGATTTCATCAGAATTCACTCTGCCTAACTCTTCTTTATCACCTCTTTCAACCCCATATGTCTTTCTATTTTCCTTTCCTGTGGCCTCAATTATAATGCATTATATTTTCCTGCTGTTTCTTTCACCACTCCTTCTCTCCTTTCTTTTTTTGTTTGTTTGTTGTCCTTGTTTCTCATTCTATAAATGTAAGATTTATCCTCAGCTGCAGGCTGTTTCTTGACTGTATCGTCTACTTTAGGAATTTCAAAATCTCACATGATTTCAACTATCCTGCCTGAGAAGATATACCTCAAAAATATAGATCCAGCTTGAACTTTTGCTCAACTTTTGATCCATGTTTCCAATTGCTGATCATCTTTACCTGGACATTATCTGGCATCTCAAACTCAATGTGTTCTAATCTGCTGAATTCTGTTACTGTCTTGTTTCCAGTCCCACAGTTTAAAACCTCCATCTCCTGAGCTTCCTCCCTTTCTTGAACAACCCCATCCCATTTGTTCTCAAGCCCTGCTAAATGCTATCCTGCAGTATTCTTTGATTTTTCACCATTCATTCCCTCTGCCTCTGCTCCAGCTTACCTCTTCCTCAACTTTAGTCTGCTTTGATAAAGAAACCCTCAACTGCTCACCGTCTATAATCACTGCCTCTTCCTGCTAGTCCTACTAACTGTTGTCAGAGTAAGATTTAAAACTGCAATTATATCATGCCCTTCCCACAATCTAAATACTTCAATATTTTCCTACTGCACACAGGTATTTAATATTAGAGCTGAAAAGTTACCTGTATAAAATTCAGTCTACTATTGTCATTTTACAAGTGAGAAAATGAAAGTTCAGAGAATTAAGGAAATACATTGAAGGTTTTCCAACTCTGTCAAGAGTCAGATTTCACTATTTTGCCCTTGCAAATCCAAGAGTGACTTTGTATCAGAATTCCTTCTAGACTCTGAGCAACAGAAAATAAGCTTACACCAACCCACCACATTTTTAAGCAGACTTGGCAGTTTTTAAATTACAAATCCAGTTGAGAGTCTGACAGTATGGTGAAACTCACTTGGTCTTCTGCCTAAGGTTGTCTCTCATGGGAAAAAGAATGACCCAGCTTCATAAAGCTGGAAAGATTTCTTAGTCATCTGCACTGTTTTCCAAAACAAACAGCAAGCACTGATGCGCCAGTGCAGTAAGGGAAGTGCAACAACAGAGAGCAGATGCACACACAATTCTGTAGCTATGAAGAAGTGGCTTTCGAACAGACAAGTAAGGTATGCCCGTCTCTCATCCCACACTCACAAGCAAGAGAGAGGGAAAAAATGTTCATAAATGCACAGGTAGCAAGGAGCATGCATGCATATTAACATCATTTCAGTTCTGCACCCAAGGTGAACTCTACGGATAACATGACCTAAACTCTGGGCCATGTAGTTTTCTTTTTTTCTTTGTGCTGTATTACTGCTGCTGTATATAAATATTAACAATCACAAAGATAATAGATTAAAATCAGAATTTTTTGTGTTCTTAAAGTTGCAATATCAACTCTTTGTAGCATGTTTTACTTAGTAGTAATTTACTTAAGGGAATAGGCTATCTCATATTTTATTGTAAAACTCACAACTCAAGTTCAAATTATTCTGAATTGTATTGAATTGCATTTAGCCATAGATTAATATCCAAAACTCAATTTCCTCATCTGAAAAATGTGATAGTATTAGTGCTGACCATATGTATTTGCTGTGAAGATTAAATGCATAGATTTATACATTACCTAATACTTAGTTATTATTAAATAAATTAAAATAGTAATAACAATCATAATTATTAATATTAAATATACAATGGACATGTAATTACTATATTAAAACATGACTTTTTTACACTTTCATATTGATCATAAGTATTGATTTTCTGAATTAACTATTGTGGTAATTTTTTTTAAGTAGGTACTTAGAGACATTAATTTTATATTTTATTTGATGATGCGATTAAAATCAACTATAAAAAAACCTTTTTTTGTATTTTTAAATTACTGTTGTTAGTATTCTTAAATGCAAACTATAATTTTTTTATATCAATGATACAAATAAAATTTTTCATACTTTGAAATTCTGAATAAATTCAATTAGAAGTTGAAAATTTCTTATTTAGGGAGAAATACAAATTAAGGATTTATACTATCTTTAATGAATTATAAATAAAACTTAAAACTTAATAAATACAAACTAGCCCCCAGTCCACACTTAATTTTTAGGCATATTTTACAATGTCTTAAACAAGTACATGAATGTATTAAACTCCATATGTAAATGTCTATGGTCTCAGAAAAGCCTATGACTTTTAGGGAAAATAATTCAAATTATCTCAATTTTTTCCTGCAAATCATGCATAAAGATTACAGTGAGAGCTGTAACTAGGCAGCTTGACTAACATACTTGTTTATCTAGGGAAATTGTTTAATACAAGAGAAGAGACTAAGGAAGTTACATTCCCAGCAACTTGTCCCTATACTCCTGCATTTGCCTCTCCTTGCTGTGGAAGGATGCATTTATAATATCTGTTTCATTCAGAGCTAAAGATAAAACATCAACTAGTTCATTTTTACATAAAGGAAAATGTTTTTCTTTTAGAACTTTTTATTTTCATATTTCAAAGCAGGTGAAAAACTTCATCTTAAAATTTGCAAGTATACAAGGAAATCTTTGATCTACAATTAGAGTGAGGGATTACATATTCTGAAGCCTTTATATTGTTCTGCTTCATATCTTTTCTTCCCTACACACACTTTTTTTTTCTGTTTACAACTGTGGCTAGTCAAATCCTGAAACTATACTCGAATGTTTTCAGATTTTGACTTATTTTGTAATATTACTGAACAGCCTTAGAGATCTCAGCTCTTTGGGCACAAGATTTACTAAGACAGCCTGAGCTTCTGACCACATTTTATTTGAGTTCTAGCTTCAAATATTCTACCATGTAATAACAAGTATCTGCATAGCTAAAATAAAAAAATTTTAAATAGAAGTAATAAAAAGAAGAGTAAATCGAACGGTTAAAAACAAAAATTCTTAGCATCATCATCAGACCCAAGACACAAACCAAATCTACCTGCTATATAGACTGATAAAATATAATTATTCACAAACCTATGGTTTTATATCTTTATTGAAGTAACTGAATAATATGCATTTTAAAGTATTTAATTAAAAAATAACTAGTGTGATTATCTTATTTCTTATAGGTGGTGGTAGAAGTTAACAGTGAATTCCGAGTCCAGGTAAATATAACAAATCCATTTTTTCCAAATTTTTAAACAGGAATATAATTTGAGAATAACAACATATTTTCTGAAGAAAATTTATTCTTATAAAGTTCACATCATGCTAAAATTAATAGATGACCAAAATTACCACCGTTCCTAATTAAACATCCTCTACTTCAGACATTATATCCTCTTCCAAAAATCTCAGTGGAATTTGGAATACAAATTTAAATTAATATATACCATCTCTTTATTGCTCTCATTCAAGGTAAGAGATTATAACACTAAAAATGGCACCATCAAGTGGCATTCAATCCGAAGGCAGAAACGTGAATGGATCAAGTTCGCGGCGGCCTGTCGTGAAGGTGAAGACAACTCAAAGAGAAACCCAATCGCCAAAGTAAGTATCAACTCCAAAGCATAACAGTGAAAATCAGAATGGATACAGTTTCAAACAGCCTTTTTAATGTTTGATGAACATGTCTCACTGAGAAGCTACCATACAGAACAGAACTGTTGTCATCTACGTGGTGAAAACTGAAACTCCTAAGGACAAATTAAGAAATGCAGGCACTCAGAGAAACAGCAAAACACTGACTCGCCTCACTGTGAAATGCATATACGTGATCATGTGATATCCCAAACTCTAGATGTAAAAGCATTATTATTTAAATAAAGAATTTGGCTTTCAGTGCATTCAAAGGAATTACTTCAATGCATGCTCTTTTTCCCTCATGATGTGTTAGAATTGAATTCCTACTTTTTTGTTTATTAACATTTACAGAGTGCCCTCTCTCATACTCCTTTTCTATTCATTTTTCTGTAACTTTCTTTCCATATACACACACACTTAGAAACAACCCCCTACAGATTCATGAATATACGGATACAGAGACACGGATACAGAGACAAATATACACATACATTCACACAGACACTCACAAAGACTCCCCACTAAGATTCGTTTACAGCCAAACAGTATTTTATTTCAAAGAAAGAATTCTGGTTTCTATAAACATTTATTTGCATGGCTTTGCTACTAATACATCCTTCCCATTTTGAGAATTAAGAGCTTCCACTCAAACTCAGATAACTCTAGTCACCTACATCAATCTACTCAAAACTTTCTTCAAAACTTCACATTTAAAAATATTGAAGATTAAAGTTGTATAATGACAACATTGGTAAACTCCTTAAGAGGGCAAGGAGTTTCCAACTGTAGTTCCAGTGCAAGCACAGACCATGCAAATAATACAAGATCAAATTTTAACTGTTGAATGAAGGAAGATATGCCTGATGATTGCATAGACTTAGATATTGTAGAGTGGTACTTTGCTTTTCTCTTGTTTAAGTAGAAACTGAATTTCTTTAATTACATTGTCAGTTACCATTGAAAATATTAGAGCTGTAATTGTTACTCTTATCTAGGAAAATAATTCTCCATTGTCAACATTTCCTAAATGATAACAAGGTCATCACATGCAACAACTCTCAAGAAAGCTGTCATATATCAGACATAGAACTCTATTTGCTCTTTGTAATATTTTTACTTGTATTCCTTCTGCAGATTCACTCAGATTGTGCTGCAAACCAGCAAGTTACCTACCGCATCTCTGGAGTAGGAATTGATCAACCACCATATGGAATCTTTGTCATTAATCAAAAAACTGGTGAAATTAATATAACATCCATAGTTGATCGAGAGGTCACTCCTTTCTTCATTGTAAGTGGACTTCATGTGAATATATATGTTCAGGCTTAAATTCTTCTCAGAAACTCTTAACCTCAGATAATACTTGATTTGATTTCAAGAGTCTCAATATTTGGCATTTTTGGTTGTTTCTTAATTCACAAGCATCCCATAACCAAAAAGAAATGCAAAGATTAAGAGAGAAGAATGTTTTACTTAAGTGTCAGCAAAAATGCTAACCTTTAGTCTGTCCTCATTGACAAACTAGAGTATTTGTTTGGAAGGATAAATATCTAACTTTAATTTTCCCTTTTCCTTTAATTCAATAGAGAATGTTAGCTTCTTTTAAGTCTAATGTGAAGCAATGATTCTGGAGCTCCTGCAGGAGTATTTTCTGAGCAAAGATACTTTATTATAAATTTATGTTCCTAAAGCTCACCTGAGCTCCTAATGCACCTTGAAAATTCATTGATTCTTAAGTGAATCTCACTCCATTCTTTACAGGAGCTGTCATATAGCTTAAGTATCCTATCTTTTCAAATTCCCAACCTTGTTTCCACTTTAAGCAGTTGCCCTGGTGACCAACTTCACCAAAAATGCTGAAGCCATCCATCACAAACTCCCACAATTATTTCCCTCTCTCCCAGCTCAGAAATGTTCTTCATTAAATCCAAAAGCAGGATCAGCTGTTTGCTTTTTCCTGAAGTGGATTCCAAAACATTTCCATCTTCCTATAATTACCAGTTTATTGGGGAATCTTATTCCATCACCTCTGCTTTTCTGTCTCCCTTCTGCTGGCTCCTTGACTACTCCAATTTCCTTCTATGATCATGCTCAACACACTTCTTAATATAAAAAATAGACACAAAGAAACCTTACTTTGCTCCTCTTACCTCTTCTATTAAAATCTCATCAATCCGTATCTCAAAACACTTTCAAATAATGATCTATATTTGCAGTGTTCACTCATACTGCCTGCCTGTATTCCTCACATGACTTTAATCTGTTAGCCTTCAATTCCAAATCTATATTTCTTCCCTCTGTCCCACAATGATCCTCCACAAACTTTAAAAAGGCATGCTACCCTGTTAGCTTTTCTTGGGACACAATGCATTTTTTAAATTTTTATCATTTTTTTATAGAGAAAGGGTCTCACTATATTTCCCAGGCTGGTCTCACAATGTGCTTTTATATGAAATATGTCATTTTGTAAAATAGTACACATTACACTTAGGTGCACTTCAAATACAAATAATAATAATACAAACCTCCATGTAGCTACTACCTACCTTAAGAATGCTACATTTGCTTTCCCTTAGTGACTATAAGTGGCGCTTGCGCCTATGTTCTAGTTAGAAGTAACAACAATATCTTTTTTTTTAATTCCCCACAGTGCTAGCATAATGCTCAAAGTAAGAACTTAATAAATCTGTGTTTCACCACATAATTATTTCTTTTCTCTCTCCCAGATCTACTGCCGAGCTCTGAACTCAATGGGCCAAGATTTAGAGAGGCCTCTAGAGCTCAGAGTCCGGGTTTTGGATATAAATGACAACCCTCCAGTATTTTCAATGTCTACATTTGTAGGACAAATAGAAGAAAATTCTAATGCAAGTAAGTAATATAGTGGCTTCCAAACCACTCCTAACAGCCAGGCACATAAGCGGAGACTAAATTATGTCAAAGTACACATCATGAATGTAAGAGATGAGCTAGAGAAAAGATGCAGAATAGAAAGAAAGTCTTTCCCTCCAACTGTGAAAACAGCTCCAATCTGACAGACACAAGGAGCAATTCCAAAGCAATGAGGAGGATTTTCTCATGTAACTCTCAGACCAGTCCCGCAGGAGAGTCCTAACAAGAAATTTTAAAGGCATTTTGCACGGTGGTGGCAGGGGCATTGGGATGTGAATTTAGCCTCCCAATCTAACTCTGTGGAAGGACAATCCCGCCCCTTTCTGCTCACACTGCATTGTTTTATTTTTTTCCTTTTTAAAGTTAGCTACTTTAAAATCACTTATAGAAATCACTTCCACACAAAACTTCATTCCTATACTTTGAACTTTTAAAAATGTCATTATAAAAATGCTCATTAAATTTATGTAATATGAAAGTAAAAAGGAAAAAAAATCTGTTTGCATTTTCTAGTATAATTCTTCAAAGGTATGCACTGTGTACATGCTTTCCATAATTATGTAAACATAAATAACATGTTTTTTAACATAAATGGTATCATCTGTTACATACTAATCCACAACATGAATTTTTATATGAATATATTTTGAACCTATTTTCATATCAGAACATGTAGAGTTTTTTACTGCTTTCAATAGTTGCAATGGAATTTAATTATATAAATTATATGTGTATATAAATGTTAATTATCTAAGGAAAACATTTAAAAAATTATGCTACAATGAATCCAGGTGGGGGATGAGAGATATCCTGGAGCATCCATAGGAAAATTGTATTTGAAATGGAGTTGAACAGTAGAGAAGAATTCCAAACTTATGAATGAGAACAGGCAGTTTTTCACATTCTCCAATAATCCAATAATCTTCATCAAAACTACTTGTAAAATTAATGAAAATGATAAGAGACTGGATAATGTATGTACTTCAACAAGCATTTCTTTAGATCTACTAATTACCTTGCACTTAATGAAGGATCACTCAAAACAAAACAGTAATAATGTATATTTATCAAGTGTGCCTTATTGATTAGAAACTTTATATAGTTTTCTCTTGTTAATTATTTAATTCTCACGTGAATTCAATAAGGATGGCAGTAATATTATCCCCATTTATAGATATGGAAACTAAGGCCAAGATTATATAGCTAGAAAGTGTTGAGAAAGTTGGGAAAATGTTGGTCTGGTCTTTTTATCATTTGGTTTCACCATAGCATCCTTTTAAAAAATAAGAAAATGTACTAGAGGAAGAAATAGAAAGCCAGAATAACACATTTCCGTTGCTTCCTAGTTATCAGCAATGCCTAGATTCCTGGTAAAATGTGATCCTTTTATTAGGCAAAGATATATAAAGGAGCTAAGCTATTCATATGTCGAAGGAGTAGAAAGGGAAAACAATGAGGCCCACATTATACGGATCAAGTAACTCTAATACTTTTTGGAAAGGTGATGTGCTATACTGTAACAAAAATGTAAATTGCCCATTTACAATCAATTTTCCTTGATTTCCAGATACGCTGGTGATGATACTCAATGCTACTGATGCAGATGAACCAAACAATTTGAACTCAAAAATAGCCTTCAAGATTATAAGACAAGAACCCTCAGATGCACCAATGTTTATTATCAACAGATATACTGGAGAAATTCGAACAATGAATAATTTTCTAGACAGAGAGGTAATTCTTTTTCTATAAGGGGATTTTTAGTCACAAAGAAATTGATTCTAAAAGCAAGGGTACTGAAGAGAAAAAAGATGAAGAAAACGATGTTTTAAATTTTTAATTGTACAACTTTTTCACGTGATTCTTTCATGTAAGAAACATTTTTAAAATGAAAACAGGGGGATTTTTTTAACTGCAATTTGTACTGGCATTTTTCATATAATATTAATTAAAATTTGCTTCAATTAAAAAAACTAGATTGTGAAAGTACATGAAAATATGCCTAAGGTAGTCAAAGATGCATTTCTCTAAAGAATGTGTTCCAAAATGAAATGAATTTAGGAAACACTTGCTATATGTCCACATCTTGGTGAGCTACAGTGCATGTGAGTATGCTGGAGGCTCCAAGAATATTTACACACTAAGCTCTCTTTCTTCAACCCAGCAGATCTCAGCTCCATTGACAGCAAAACTCTTGTTTTTCCTATGTAACATCTACTGATTGCCCACCTGTTCATTTACTTTGGGAAATGAACCGCAGAATAAGAATGATGGATAGGAATTAAATAACAGCCTGACCAATCTTTTTATTTACAAATAAGAAAATAACTATTGATTGTTAACAGAGTAAAATCAGCATTATGAGGTTTCCAGCATGATATGCGATTTCATGATTTAGTTTTAAGATATCCACTTTTTCATTATTTTTAAAAATACTAACTTTTGATAAAACGTTGCTGACCTATACGTACATTAGGGACATAAGTGAGGAAACTTGATGTTCTGATGGTATTCAGTTAATTTTGTTTTAGTTATTAAAATGACAATCTCCTTGCCAACGACGTTTAGGTTTAGGATAAATCATATTATTTTAATACTCTTTATTTATTTATTTTAAAAAGTTCCCTTCTCTCCACTTCCTTACCAACACTTAGCTTTCCTCTTTTTTTTAATAGCAATTCTGACAGGTGTGAGGTGCTATCTCATTGTGGCTTTAATTTGCATTGTCTTAATAATTAATGATGTTGAGCATTATTTTGTGTATTTGTTGGCCATTTTATATCTTCTTTTGAGAAATGTCTATTCAGGTCTTCTGCTCATTTTTAAATGGATTATTTGTTTTATTTCTATTGAGTTGCTTTAGTTCTATGTATATTTGGATATTAACTTCTTCTCAGATGTTGGGCTTACAAATATTTTCTACCAATTCATAGCTTGTTGCTTCACCCTGTGCTTCCTTTGTTGTACCTGTACTTTTAGTGTCAAAACTAGAAAATCACTGCTTGGACCAATGTCATGTAATTTTCCCCCTATGTTTTCTTCTTGAGGTTTTATAGAGTTAGTCTTTTTTTTTTTTTTCTATTTTCCTAAAAAATATTGGCACAAGTAATTAGAAGTGAAGATATAAACTTAATCCCTGCAGTGGGACCATTAACCACCACACCTACTGCCTTATTTAAACTGATTGCTTGGTAAACAGCTTAAATTTACACCCTCTTGCTCCCAAACACAAATCTTTGTTATCTCTTTATATGCTTTTTGCGCACTCGGGGGTTGATTATTTAGGGTACGGAATTTTCGTGCCATAAACTTTTGGTAAACTTAATCTCTTTCTTTGAGATCATTCTGGTTTTTTTTAACCCTTCATTAACTTTTTCAACCTCTGGACATACTATTATTAATAACAAATGAAGCCTTTTAAAAAGTGTTTCATCTTTTAAATAATGCATGATAAGCATTATTGGGGATAATCATGTGAAATTTGTGGATTTTCCATATTCTGTGTTAACCCTACCCCTATAATAGATTTATATAAATGTTGAGCTAATATTTAAAAGAACTTTACATAAGATAAAGTAAAGGCTTTCTATGTCAAGTGTGATATTGCTTGCAATATGTGTTTTTAGCAATACGGCCAGTATTCTCTTGCTGTAAGAGGCTCTGACAGAGATGGTGGGGCAGATGGCATGTCAGCAGAGTGTGAGTGCAACATTAAAATCCTCGATGTCAATGACAACATCCCTTACATGGATCTGCCTCAAGTAAGTATTTGTTCTTGAAATTAATAACTCTAAATTCACTACATTCTAAAACATATACTAGCAATTCTCTTCACAGAGGCACATGTTATATTTATTGACATACAGCCCAAATGTAGACACATACCTTTTTCTTGTGTTTATGCAAGAATAAATGGATTTAAGCAATGAAAAATGAGATGAAAAGCATGGGTAGCTTTTCTAAATAATGAAGTTATTAACATTCCAGTATAAGCCTACTATAGTTCTTCTCTCTTTCACACAGTTGACGCTAAGAGTTTTCACTTCTCATTTCAGAATTCCATAGAAATTGAAGAAAATACTCTATATACAAATTTGATGCAGCTTACAGTAATTGACTTGGATGAAGAGTTCTCAGCTAACTGGATGGCAGTAATTTTCTTTATCTCTGGAAATGAAGGAAATTGGTTTGACATAGAAATGAATGAAAGAACAAATGTGGGAATTTTAAAGGTTGTTAAGGTATGGTGTAATTATCCTAAATATTTTGTTTTCTTAATCTGTTTTCAAAGTGTTAAGCTTAAAATAAAATGATGCCAACATTTCACAAACTTGACTCACTAAACGAATAAAATTACTGTGTTTTAAATTTACATATAACATGGAGGGTTTTTTTTTTTTTTTTTTTGAAACGGAGTCTTGCTCTGTTGCCAGGCTTTTCAATATAGTCTTTCTGCTTATAGTCATTTCAGAAAAACAGGGATTGAATTTTAACTTGAACATTTTATCAATACAGTACTCCCAAATAGATCATATAAATTGAAAGCACCTTAAAAATAGTATTTTATGCTTAAAACAAAGTATAATTAATCCTTAAGGTTAATGTTTTAAGAATTGTTTTAAGCAGATTTAATAGGGGCTTTAAAAATGTGTTCATGTCAACATTGTAAGTCAATTGCTACACATGTAAAATATTCATCATATAAATGAAAATGTGTTTATTCCTCCAGTGTGTTTTTATAAAATTTAAGTTAAATTTCTATAACCGTAGAATTATCAACCCCATCTCACCGTGGCTGCTGACCAAGGCTTTTTAGGAACACAGATATGCTGGAAATTTGACCTAAGTCAACTGGTCCAGCGCTGTTCTCTTATGTCCTCCACGTATTAATGGTCCACATTTACCTGCAGCAAAATTTCATCTGAGATGTGAGAAAAAAAAAAAATCCGCCCCCTAGGGAGCTGATAGTCAAAGTTTCTCCTGTGCTACACAACTTGCAGAGTCAATTTTTTAAATCTACAACAGCTGTGCATGGACTGTATATGTTGCAAGCAATACGTATTTTCATGGTAAAATGCAATCCCTATTTAACTATTTTTTTTTTTTTCAGAATAGGCCTGGAAAACAGACTCTCAAACTACTCTGTCCCCATAGGAATGTATGGCTTTTTGCCTTCTGTGTCTTCTTAAAGTGTCACCATGCCTGCAGCTTATATTTAACTTGAGCCAGCATGCAGATGCTTTAGTTTATCCCTCACAGCATCCCTGCGAATTAGGTTATATTATTTCCATATTGCAGATAAAGACATTGAAGCTCCAAGAGAGCAAAGAACCTGCATAAGTTCTCATAGCTAGTAAGTAGTGCAGCCAACACTTAAACCTATTTTCTCTAGACATGAAGTTCACATTCTTTCCATGACACTATTTAGGATTCAATGCTGGGGAAATTGGAGTCTAATCTATTTTGCCCCAAACTATTATATTACTTCAGAAAATTATTCAACCTATCTGTCCTCAATATCTCCATCTGTAAAATGAGAATGATAACTGTTTGCTCAGACATATCATATATTAAGTCCTTTGTTATAACTATATACATATATATTTTATGTGTGTGTAATGTATATATACATTTGACTTTACAGTCACTCTTTGAATTGCAAATAAAGCCAACATTAGAACAAAGATTCAACATTTTAGCTACATAGGAGAGCTCAATGTGTGAATCTCTATTTTTATCTAAATTACTTTTGTGAAAATTTAAAAAAATTTATTTGGTATGTATGGCTCTAAAGGCATAGTTGTTTGTACAATTTATGTGTTGTGGATATTAATATCATTTTTCATAAAGAAAATCACCACTTGACTATTTTATGAAATAAGTTTTTCTGAAGCATGTTGAAGAAAATATATATATTATATGCATATTACATTCTATTATCTGTCTTATTCAGAGTCACATTTACAGATGTGAAATTTCTTCTAAATAGTTCTTATGGATAGAACCATTCAAATGATTGCCCTTCTAATATATTTGACTCATACTGTGTAATAAATAGCTACTTTCTGAGAAACATAAAATGATTAAAGGTAGGATAAATTGTCTTTGCACTAAAAAATATATAAAATTTGACTATATGTATTACATTAAGTTTTTGTTGGGGGAACAATTAAAGCTCATGTCAGAAAAGTTTTCAACTTTTCAACACTGAATCTAGGCAACTGAATTGTTTCTTTATTTGCACAAATTTACATCAATTAAAGATTAAAAATTTAAGAATAGATTATGCATTTGGGTGTGTTTATGTTTCATAAACAAAGAGAATAAGATTTTTTTTACTATTATCAAAGGATTTCTCTTTCATCTGGAACGTTTTCTCTCCTTAAAATAAAACGATTTCACTCTATTTTCTAGCCCTTAGATTATGAAGCTGTGAAGAATCTGCAACTCAGTATTGGCGTCAGAAACAAAGCTGAATTTCATCATTCAATTATGTCTCAATATAAACTGACAGCAACTGCAGTTTCTGTGACTGTGAGAAATCAACGTGAAGGCTCAGTGTTTCGTCCTGGTTCAAAGACATATATAGTAACTGGTAACATGGGAGCAAACTCTAACGTGGGAGACTTTATAGCTACGGACCAGGACACAGGTGAACGTTCAACAACTGCTAGGTAAGAATGACATTTTCAACTAATTTTCCTCACATATTGAACTTAAGTACATATATTCTCTTCAGAGATTATAAATATCTGAGTTAAAAATATTTTTCAGTATTTTTCAAACTATCATTTAATTGTAAAAAGTACTATAAACTGTTACTCAATTTAAAATGTTTAACTTAAGAAAACATAAAAATGCATTAAGATGTAAGATATTAAACTGTAAAGATGTGATATGTAAAAAGAATATCTTTCAAAAATATCGACACACCTGTTTTGATATCTTATTGATCAATTAGTTGATTACCACAGGCTGTGATTAATTTCTCAGAAGAGTTTAAGGAATGATTTCCCCATTGCAAATCTGCCAGCTTAAAATCAATTAGATTTTGTTAGCTCATTTCAATTATATTCTTCACTTTATTCAGCATTTAATATTGGTCAGTAACACTGGTGTGAAAAATTAGTTATATTAAGGAAAACTATGTTACGTCATTTTTTTAAACTCTATATATGGAAATATTTCCACCTAATCACAAAAAAAAATCTGCATGTGCACATGTACCTGTATTTGCATATGTGACTGTGACAAGAATGAGAGAAGCACTACGCCGATGTGTTTTTTTGTTGTTTGGGTTTTTTGTTTGTTTGTTTTTTGAGATGGAGTTTCACTCTGTCACCCAGGCTGGAGTGCAGTGGCATGACGTCAGCTCACTGCTACCTCTGCCTCCCAGGTTCAAGGGTTCCCCTCCCTCAGCCTCCCAAGTAGCTGGGATTACAGGAACCAGTTACCATGCCTGGCTAATTTTTGCTTTCGTAGAGAAGAGGTTTCACCACTTTGGCCAGGTCAGTCTCAAACTCCTGAGCTCATGTGATCAGCCCTCCTTGGCCTCCCAATGTGCTTGGATTACAGGCGTGAGCCACTGCGCCCAGCCCACCCATGTGTTTTGAAAGTTATTTATTGGTGTTCTTCTCACATAGGGTGAGTAGTTCTGTTAGAAGTCCTGTCACACTGTACCACATTGCTGATGAGCTTTCTTGTACCTTGTAGGAGTGAATTCACAGAGGGCAGCCCCAACCCAGAACTTAGCAGAATGCCAGAGAGAGAGAAAGAAAGAGAGAGAGAATATTATCTGACATTGTTTCACAAATAGTAGATGAGAAGGAAAACAGGGAAGTCAAAGATGAAAAGAAGAATACAATAGAGGATCAAGGCAAGGCCATAGTTTGGAACTCAAAAGAGGTCTTGTCAAGTTCTAGTGCATGAGGGGGAGTAGGAGTGGAAATGGGGAAAGTGCAGGCCAAGCTGATGAAGTAACTTCTTTGCAAAAGAATAAAATTAGGAGCAGCCCAGGAAATCCCAGGATCTGAGTGTTCTGTAATAGTTCTGCTGTAACCTAAATCAAATGAAAATGAGATGCAAGAATCAAAGTATTATTCTGACATCCAACTGGGCATAAAAGGACATTCCATAAGAAATGGGTGCTCAGTAATTACTTTTCTTAAGTGTAAATCTTGATGTACCCCTGAATGACCCCATATAGCTAAGACAGACCTGAAATAAAATAAGGTCTCTAGTAACTGAAAACTATATCCAGGGGTTATAACTACTCACTGAAAAAAATACATTTTAAATTAAAATTTCTTCTTATTTTTTTAGATAGCTGACATTAATTTGTATCATTTTCTTTCAAACACAGATATGTAATGGGAAATAATCCAGCTGACCTGCTAGCTGTTGACTCAAGAACAGGCATAATCACTTTGAAAAATAAAATTACCAAGGAACAATATAATATGCTTGGGGGAAAATACCAAGGAACAATTCTCGCTATAGATGGTAATAAATGAATTTAATTTTTATCTTTTCTAGAGAAAGCTGCGTATACTTTAAGATATTAAAATTTTAATTATCATATTTTAAAGTAACCCCTTTCTGACAAAAGTTGTCACATTGGGCATTATAGACTCCTATCTTTAACTACTTGAGGCAGTATAATTTAGTTGTTAAGACCATGAGTCCTGAAATGAGACAAGATTAGGGTCTTCTACCATCACTTACTAGCTATAGAATCTTAGAGAAGATATTTAATAATCTATACCTGTTATCGCTTCTTTAAAATGGAACAATACAATATAGGTTTAGAAGGATGTGACGATAATGATAGAAATAACAACAAAAACAAAACAACAGGATTAGCATAGTTGAGCAGAAAGGGCAGGAGTTTCGATATCGTATCGACCGGATTTAAACATATTTCTGTTATATACTTCCAGAAATGTTTTTATTCACTTATTTAGAAAGTGTATATTGAGTCCTAACTACATGTCAGCCATTGTGCCAGATTCTAGGGTTACATCAATTAATAAAGTCAGACAACTGAGCTCACATCTATGTAATAAAGATTACAATAATAACCTCAAACAAATTATTCCTGTATTTTTGCTGAATAATTCTACTTTTAATAACCTTAGGAAAAGTTAAAATATAATAGTTTGAATGCACAAGATGTTAATTACAGCACTAATAATTAGATATTGAAACCCATATAAATAATAGGCAACTGGGTAAGTAAACCATGGTACATTTGATATAAAATTATATAACCATCAGGAACTCTGTTAATAAAAAGTTTATTAAAATATAAAATAATACTTATAGTTTAAAGTAAAAAAATGGAATGAACCATATGATCACATCAATGTAACATAAATAATAAGCAAGCATTCAGCATTATAGTTAAGGACAAAAGGTCATTTGAAAAAATACCAGCAGGGGTTGTCCTTGGGTGCTGGTTTCTGGTTTTGTTTTGCTTCTTTCTATAATTCTATACTTTTCAAATTATATATAATATCCAAATACTAGTAATGCAAGGAAATAATCCAATAAATAGTATTACTATGACTAATAATGTTATTTATAATAATATAATAATTTAGTTGATTTTTAAAACTGAGTCAAAAACAAGGGATGATTTGGCAAGTTAGGAGAAATTATGAGAATAAAGATATTAAAGTAAATATTGATGTAAAAAATAATTCTGTGTTGTCCAACCATTATGATTCTAAATGTCTAAAATATTTCTTCCATTTTGAACCTTATTACAGATGATCTTCAAAGAACTTGCACTGGTACAATAAATATTAACATGCAAGATTTTGATTTCAACGGTGGTGATACTACTACAGATACGGAGAGTAATACAAATGACAATACAGATACGAACACTGGGAGTAGTACCAATAATAGCAGAGAAGAAACTTCCACTCAGCAAGGTACCAGCACAAATGTGGAAGGAAACTCTAACAGTGAATCTTCTTCATCAGTTTTCGCAGACAATGTACATTTTGGTCCTGCTGGCATTGGACTACTCATCATGGGATTCTTGGTCTTAGGATGTAAGTACCTTAGCAATCCGATGTATATGTGTCCCCCCAAAAAAACGGTGAGGGAGAAGGTAAGTTTTCTGATTCTTTGATAAAACATATTTTACAAATTCTCAATTTGTGCAATTATGAAGAAATTTCCATGCTTGGCACTGGGTTTATAAGATGAAAAAACTTCTTGACCCCTTACAGGACTGTGGAGGATAAAAATTTATTTGCATGAAGTCTCAGTGTGACAGGAAAGTGCCATAACAAGTAGGCTCAAATTGCTATTTCAGTGAAGAAGATAATCAAAAAGGCTACAGAGGGCCGAAGGCAGTGATTCATGGCTGTAATCCCAAAACTTTGGCAGGCCAAGGTGGGCAGATCACTTGAGGTCAGAAGTTCAAGACCAGTCTGGCCAACATGGTGAAACCTCCATCTTTACTAAAAATACAAAAACCAGCAGAGCGTGGTGGTAGGCACCTCTAACCCCAGCTACTTGTAAGGCTGAAGCAGAATGGCTTGAACGCAGGAGGCAGGGAAGGTTGCAGTGAGCCAAGATCACATAACTGCACTCCAGCTTGGGGGACAGAGCCAAACTCAATCTCAAAAAAAAAGAAAAAAGGAAAGGCTACAGAGAAAAAGTAAACTCTTAGTTGCATTTTAGAAGATGAATAGGAGTTAGCCTGATGAACAAGAGAAAGGGAACACAATACAAAGAAAAAAAAATCTATGTGCAAAAACCCAAAAAATGAGAGTGCAAGGTACTGCGATGAAGATCTCCAACGTGCAAGAAATTAAAGATGTGCATGACAGCTGGTGAAAGTTTAGACTAAAAAGATAGGCAGGGGACAGGTCTTGAAGAGATTTTATTCATACTATCACTGCATAGAATAAACAAAAGGAGAGTCAAATAGACCTAGGGTTAAACCCTGGTTTCTAAGCTTAATTTTCTGAGTCTTCCAAAGGTTACCTAACCTTTCTGAGCCTTGCTTTTGTCATGTATGAAATAATACTTACCTTAAAACATTGCTTTGATGATGAAAAAGAAGTACCACACATGAAGCATTTAGCGTGTTCCATGGCCACTAGGGTAGTACTAGTCAAGGGTCTGGCCATAAAGGTAGAATCTGGTGGATTCTTCAGATGAGTTTTAACATTACCTTGAATGATGATAGAAATTAAAGCGAGATAAGCCTCATGGCACGGTCTTTGAGAAATGAGAACAGGAACTCTAAAGTAAGTTGGTTGTAATTTGCGCATTACAATTAAATTAATGTAAGCATTGTCATTTCCAAATGTAGAATCATAAAATCTTAATGTCAGAAGGTACCTCAGATATTTAATTCAAACGCATACACAAATTGTGAAGTCACAGAGCACTTACATATAAAATATTTTTTCGGCCCGCAGCAGTGGCTCAAGCCTGTAATCCCAGCACTTTGGGAAGCTGAGGCAGGAGGATCACCAGGTCAAGAGATCGAGACTATCTTGGCCAACATGGTGAAACCCCACCTCTACTGAAAAATATAAAAATTAGATGGGCGTGGTGGCACGCCTATAGTCCCAGCTACTCGGGAGGCTGAGGCAGGAGAATTGCTTGAACCCAGGAGGTGGAGGTTGCAGTGAGCCAAGATTGCACCACTGCACTTCAGCCTGGTGCCTGGCGCCAGAGCAAGACTCTCTCTCTCTCTCTCTCTCTCTCTCTATATATATATATATATATATATATATATAGAGAGAGAGAGAGAGAGAGAGAGAGAGAGAGAGAGAGAGAGTCTATATATATATAGAGAGAGAGAGAAAGAGTATATATATATACGTATATATATATACGTATATATATATACTCTCCTTTCTCTTAGTACATGAACAGCGATAGACATTTTTTGCTACATTTATTTGCAAACTGGGTTTCCTCTGATTTTAAACAACTCACCTTTTTGAACATTGTAATCAACATTGTGGCTCGTCTACACCTCAATAAATCTAGGCATGCAGATAACACAGCTTAGAGCTAGAGTTCTGTTTCCAAAATTTAAAATGTATTTCCAAAAAATGAAATTTCTACACTAACAAATAAGAGTTTAATCTTATTGGTTCATAATTAATTAAGGTAATAACTAGGAAAAGTTCTGTGAAACAGGGAATAGGAAAAGAGAGAGAGAAAAAAAAGCATTCTCGTCAAAATGAACCATGACAAGAAAAAGACAAACATGCTAGTGAAGTTGAAAAATATAACATAAAATATATATGAAGAGTTCATTCTTTGTTATTCATATTGATTACCAATTAACATTGTAAAATTTTTTAATTTAATACTTCATAGGAGTAACTTAATTACCCACGTGCTGATTATCACTACTATAATCATAAATAATACCTGTCATGTTGAGTTGGGTTTTTTCCCCACTCTGTCGCCCAAACTGGAGTGCAATGATACAATCTGGCCTAGGAATTCAGGCGCCTGCCACCACACCCGGCTCATTTTTGTGGTTTTTAGTAGACACGGGGTTTTGCCATGTTGGCCAGGATGGCCTCCATCTCATGACCTTGTGATCCACCCACCTTGGCCTCCTAAAGTGCTGGGATTACAGGCGTGAGCCACTGTGCCCAGCCTGAGTTGGTTTTTCACAGTGCCAACCACCTCTAGGTACTGTAGTTAATAAAAGATTTACAAATTATATATGGGCCTTAGAGTCATCATTACCTGTAGACCCAAAGTTTTCTCTCTGGTAGATTTTCAGAAAACCAACCCATGAACTTCTTTTCCTCTTTTTTTCTTTTTTCTTCTCTTCTCCTCTCCCTTATTTCTATCCTTACTATCTTCCTACCTCCCTAATTTACTTCCTGCTTTTTTCCTTCCCTTCTTCTCCACAATTTTAATTTATACATTCTTTCTTTCATCCATTTATTCAAAACCATTTACCAGGATTATACTATATAAGAGACTGATAATAAATAGATAAATAAGAAAACTCCAATTGATTAACAGCAAAAGACATTGTTAATCAGTGTGCTGTTTTCGATTTGTATAAGAGTTACTGAAAGAAAAGACATCTGTGGGGGGGAAATAGCCTCAGAGAGAATTGTTGGAAGCATAAATAAGATCTTAATGTTGAAATAAAGACAAGCATATGTGAAAGGAAGAAAATAAAGACAGGAACGAGAGAACACAAAGGATCGAATATATTGCCTGACCTTTTCATCTTTCCTTTTTCTCTCCTCTGATATTTTTCTAAGTAATGACATGGAAAAATTCATCAGTTTTAATAATGTAATACTATCTGTAATTTTTTTTTTGAGACAGGTTCTCACTCTGTCCCTCAGGCTGCAGTACAGTGGCACAGCCACCCCTCACCTCCCTGATTGAGCAGCCTCAGCCTCCCTGGTTCAAGCCATCCTCCCACCTCAGCCTCCAGAGTTAGTGGGACTACAGGCAAAAGCCCCCATGCCTGCCTAATTTTTGTATTTTTTGTAGAGATGGGGTTTCACCATTTTGCTCAGGCTTGTCTCAAACTCCTGGGCTCTAGGGATCCACCCGCTTCTACCTCCCAAAGTGCTTGGATTACAGGTGGGAGCCACCATGCCAGGCCCACTATTTGTAATTTTTAATACTATAAAACAAACTAAAATTGACTGCAGTCTAGTATACAGAAGCTCCCATTTACTTTGGTGTCTGACCATTATTCAGCTTGTATTCTGAAACTTTCATAATTTTAGAACCAACCAGTTATATTAGGAATTCAAATTTAACCATAAAAAAAATCAGATTGTTTTGTTTTTCATTTGCATCCAATGCTAACTCCAGTATTACTATCCTTCCACCACCAGTGGTCCCATTTTTGATGATCTGTTGTGATTGTGACGGTGCTGCTGCTCGTAGTGTAGGCGGCTTTGAGCCTGTTCCCGAATGTTCAGATGGCGCAATGCATGTATGGTCAGAAGAAGGACCACAGTTCGATGTAAGTGCCACATTCTAAGAAACAGCCTTTGGTAGTCACTGAAATTCAGTCTCTACACATGAATCACTCACAGTCTATGCTGCTTTTTTGTGCTGAGAAAGCTAATGGAGAAAATGAAATCAAAAGTACAACAAAATCAGATGGAAGTAACCAGAAAAGGCTTTCTAAATGGAGTCCGAATTTCAATATATTTCAGAGTTTCTTAAATAGTATCCTGTTAGGAAATCTGAGGTAATTTGAGAATAAACCAAATGTATAACTATAGAAAGATTATAATCATTTGTCATTACAAATGGAAATGTTGTTTCCTGTCTTCTAGCCTTCAAACACTGTCTGCGTACCAACAATATCTGGTGGTGCAAATCTGATTGAATTCGTTGACAACTCAGGTAAGAAAAAATATTTTGTTTAACAACTCAAATGACTAAGTAGTAAGTCTGTTTTCTCTCTTTGCATATTGTTTTTGATTATCTTACTTTTCTTTAAAGTGTTTATATCATTCTTTTTTTAAATGACTATTTTGTAAAGTAAATGGCAAGGAAAAACCTACTGAAATTATTATTCTTAGATGCTGCATTTTAAAGATTTTCCTCAACCATCAAAGAGTATTTAGAAGGTGACCTAATTAGGATCTCTCTATATATAGAAGTACTGAGTTGTAACCATGAGTAAGTTTTTGTCAAGACTTTTAATTTTATAGATCAAATTTCATTATAAACACACACATATTTCATACACATATATATAATAATTAGAATTAAACCCAACTGAAATAAACCTGTGCTCATTTATTGAGGCTAAAATCTTTATACACAATTAATTTAAGGATTCAAAATTGCTTTGACTTTAGCTGCTTATTATAACAAAGAAAAAACTACATTCATTTTCATTATCATCATAAATATTACCCCAAAAAATTTTGTCCAATTTCTTTAATTGAAAGTAAGTAGATAAAACACTATCAAAATCTTTCAAAGCTCTCAACCAAGATTGTGTGCACATGGTGGAGTTTCTTCTCGCACACGGGTAAGACTATAGGAATACCATTTGCCTTAAAATGGGTGTCTAGACCAATTCACAGGCAAAAACCACGGAAGAATTAGAATTTCACAGTAGGTGGATAACTACCACTACAATAAAAGAACAATTAAAATAACATATCTGTAAAAATAGTTGTATCATATTATTTTTCTCAAGGTAAATAAATACTATTAGTTGGCTTATTTTTCTCATAGTCTTTTTAAACAGTAACCATTATTTTCTACTTTAAACTCTAATATATAACAGGCATAGGAATCTGTAACTTGTAGAACTGGACCTTATTCAAAGAACTGAACACACTAGTCTTTAAATCTATTTCTCCACCGGATTGTCCATTTTCATTAATAACCCCAATGTCTTCTCACCTCAAAAGCAGAATCTCGTTGTTGACTCATATTCACTGTCACCCAATCAGTTCTCGAGACTTGTCAGATCATCAAATCCATCAGTATTTATTTATGCATTTGTTCCCATTAAGTCTACAAACTTTTGCACACATTTTGAGCAAAGCACCATAAGAGACACCAAGGACAACTGAAACATGAAAAATGCATTTTTCCTAAACTCAAGATCCTTCACATACTAAAGCCAATGGGTACCTATCCCACTGACAACATTCTTCATTCCATAGCAGTTCCACAGTCCAGCCCATCATTTTTTCTCACCTATTTCAAATATTTCTTTTTTTTTTAATTTAAAAAAGGCGACACACTTGACTAATTTGCATATCATCCTGTGCAGGCGCAATGCTACTCTTCTCTGTAGAGTATTAATTTTAGTATATGCGCTACCAAAGCGAGCACCTACCTCAAATACAGTAACAGGGTTCAACTTACCCCTCACATCCAAGTGCAAACCCAAGATTCATAAAAATCTTTCTCCTCACATGGCCATAACCTTCTCTCTGAAAGCCAGTAGTTCTCGTATTTTTCTGGATGTCCTGTGCTTCTAGTAATACATTGGGGTATTCTTACACTATTGTTTTAACTTTCAGAATTTGAGTATTTTCCCTCCAACTTCCCTCATGTTGAAATCAAACTCTTTAGGGCAAAGATTTTTCTAATATGTCTGCAGCCTTCACTTCCAGCAGAGAATATACTACTCTCTCAACAGATAATTACCAAATTGACAAATTGATTAATAATATTATTTTGAGCTCAATATTGTATTAATATCTCCTTTCTTTATGTATTATATTTTTATTTCTTTATGCACAAATGCATATCTAAATGAAGAAATCATATATTTGCAGCAAGTTGTTAATTTTTAGTTTATGATAGACTAAAGAAAATAAATGTAATTCGTTCAACACTTTTAGGAGTTTATACAAATGAGTATGGTGGCAGAGAAATGCACGATATGGGAGGAGGAGGGAGAGTTGAACAAAGAGAGGAAGTTAACACATCAGGAATGCCTGAGACATGTCAAGAATACTGTGGAACATTAAGAAGAAATTCTATGAGGGAATGTAGAGAAGGAGGTCTGAATATGAATTTCATGGAAAGCTACTTCTGTCAGGTAAGGTCCCTAGCCACATGCTTTTCTCGCCATCCATGTGCCCACTGTTCTTCTCCAAGCTTTCCCTAATTCCCAAAGGGGCTTTGGCAGAAGTCTCCTAACTGGGTTCTCAGCCTTTAATCTTTGTGTCCAACAATCCATGCTGCTAATGAATTGCATATCAAAAGCTCTGACCTCCACACTTTACTTCCCCATGTAAGAAGAGCCAATGGCTCCCAGCTTTCTTTTGCTCATGGCTTGCAATCCAAAGTCCTTAGCATGTTAATTAAGATTGTTCATAAAATGAACCCTCCCTCTCCTCTCCAATTACTCCTTGACATCAATTCCGCTTACTGAGCACCTTTGCCACAGACATTTCACCGCCATGTCTTTGCTCATCCTGTGCCCCTCCTGGAATGCTTGCATCCCACTAGGTCTTTCACAAACCCCTACCCATCAAGACCCAGTCCAAATATCACTATCCCTCTGAAGTTTTCACACTTAACCCTCTCATCCAAAATAGGTTTAATGTTTTCTCATCTGTATTTCTGCAGTATTTGGTTTATACATTTATAGAACCTGTAATTGTTAAGATCTGTCAGTTTATATGTCTACCACCATTTTTAGAGTCTCATCCATATTTTCTCTACATTATATTGCCAGTACCTAGCTCAATTCTAGACACATAATCAACAGTTAATAAGAGTGAGGTCAAGAGCTATAGTCTACTTCCGAAACATTGTAAGAACACACTGCAGTTGGTGGGAAAGACATGAAGCCTGGAGAAACAACTGCAGGAGACTTAACTTTGCCATACCCAGGAAGAAACGTAATTGTCCATGGTTACACACTATGTGATACCCAACCTTCAGGAAGTTCTTGTCCCTGATACTGACTGGAAAAACGTTTCTGTCCTTCTACATTCTGGCCTAAAAGGCTTTCATTAACTAACCTAGTGATATTGACATCACTAGGTTAAATAAGCTGATATTTTAAAATAAAATATTAGTAAAAGCCTTCAAATAGCAAGAGATAGTAATGAGCCTTGTTCAAAACCACAGGAATGCTTATCCATATATAGAACATAATATTTTTACGTTATCTGTTATTAAAATGTAGCATAAAAACATCTTCCTTCAAATCTCTGATCACATATCACTTTATCAAAGATCCCTTCCTTAATCACCCTATCTAAAACAATGTCTATCACTTTCCTTTTCTTTACCCTGCATCTGCCACCTCCTGACCATATGCTTCTGTATTGTCTGTCTCACTCAACCAAAATATAAACTCTGTGTATCTGGTACTGTTCATTATGCATAGCTAAGTTCCAAACACAGTGTCTGGCAAATAGCAAAGGCTCAATAACTTTTTGTTTACATGAATGGCACAATGAGTTGGTTTCCTACAAGGTATTTCTGTTAACCTGAAAGTTTACAATCCACTATTATGAACAGCAAAGATGAAACGAAAGTATACATGCCTTTGGGCTTTTACTTTAAATTTAGAGATATTATATATATATTTTTAACTGTCTTTGGTCACCTTCAATTTTGTAGAACAGACCCAGAGTCAAATTTTCATGTTTCTGTGCTGAAAAGCAATGTTGCAATAAACCTTCACAGAATCAGCATATTAATTCCATCTGAAGGAAAGAAACAGAATCCTGAGTGAACCCAAATCAACTGTGAACTACCCTTTCTAGACAAAAAATGAAACAACACATTTTTGTGTCCTTCAAGTTCAGCATTTTTATCTGCCTCCCTTTAACTTTGTTATAAAATAATTCATGTGATTTTTTGTGCATAGTTTTATGTCCAAAGTACATAATTATAAATAGGTCCATCTAACTTTTAATATCATAATATATTATTAGAATTATACTTAAAATAATTTCTAACCAAATTATTTCAAGTAATTATAAAATGATTTTTAAAGCATCTCTAGCAGATGTTGGAATCTTGTTTTATTTCATTTCTCTCTGGAAATGCTCTGGAAGAAAAACTAATGTTAAGGCTGTTCTGTTGTTGTTGAATATGTATTCATAATTTCATTTCCTCTTTCTCCTATAAATTCAGAAAGCATATGCTTATGCAGATGAAGATGAAGGACGCCCATCCAATGACTGTTTGCTCATATATGACATCGAAGGTGTAGGTTCCCCTGCTGGTTCTGTGGGTTGTTGTAGCTTCATTGGAGAAGACCTGGACGACAGCTTCTTGGATACACTGGGGCCTAAATTTAAGAAGTTGGCAGACATCAGCCTGGGAAAAGAAATTGAGTCATATCCAGACCCTGATCCTTCTTGGCCACCCCAAAGCACTGAACCAGTTTGCCCTCTTCAGGAAACAGAGCCCATTGTTAGTGGACACCCACCCATCTCCCCACATTTTGGCGCTACCACAGTAATTTCTGAGAGCACCTATCCCTCGGGACCTGGTGTACAGCATCCTAAGCCTATTCCCGATCCTCTGGGCTATGGTAATGTCACTGTGACTGAGTCTTACGCCACCTCTGACACTCTGAAGCCCTCTGTGCATGTTCACGATAACCGACAAGCATCAAACGTGGTGGTAACAGAGAGAGTGGTCGGCCCGATCTCTGGTGTTGATTTGCATGGAATGTTAGAGATGCCTGACCTGCGAGATGCGTCAAATGTTATAGTGACAGAAAGGGTAATAGCACCAAGTTCTAGTCTACCCACCTCTCTGACTCTCCATCATCCTAGAGAGTCTTCAAATGTGGTAGTGACAGAAAGAGTAATCCAACCAACTTCCGGCATGATAGGTAGTCTGAGTATGCACCCTGAGTTAGCCAATGCCCACAATGTGATTGTCACAGAGAGGGTTGTTTCTGGCACTGGTGTAACTGGAATCAGTGGCACCAGTGGGATAAGTGGTGGCATAGGGAGCAGTGGCCTGGTTGGCACCAGCATGGGTGCTGGGGGCGGGGCCCTGAGTGGAGCTGGCATAAGTGGTAGTGGCATGGGCCTGAGCAGCTTGGGAGGGACAGCCACCATTGGCCACATGAGGAGCTCCTCTGACCATCACTTTAACCAAACCATTGGGTCTGCTTCCCCTAGCACAGCTCGAAGTCGAATCACAAAGTACAGTACCGTGCAATATAGCAAGTAGTCAGGATCCCAGCTCACTTTTTCGTAGTCATTGTGATTCAGATCCAATTCCCACCACCCAAAAACTAGCAATGTGATTTGTGATGCACCACTTGGTGCTCAGATCATTGAGGACCAAGGTGAGAAACCACAATGAGAAAAATAAATGGAAACATTGCTACTAGGGAGAGCTCTCCTTAGCGTTTATAAACTTTTTTGTTATGTTAGGACTAAGGAACTAAAACTTGAGGCAGAGTCTTCTTTGGGCTTTTGTGGCCTGTAGTGTATCTCCAGCCTGTAACTGGCCTTATTACAGCAGTTGGCATAATTCTCCTTGCTCTGTTTTGCTTTGCCACATAGCTTGGGCAAAATTCGAAAAGAACTAAACATGCAAATGTGTTCATGTCTGTGGGAAAATCTAAAATGTGTGCCAGGCACCCTGTCGGTTTCACAGATAGCATAAATAAAAATTCAACCACAGATTTATACAAGGGTTAACCAATTTTTATTTAAGTTTGGCAACATAGCCAAGTCCACAGGCCATCAAGCACTCCTACCTTAATTACTGCACTAGATAAAATAAATTTTAAATTAGGAAATATTTTCTAGGAGGAAAAGTCCATTAGAGAGTGGCAATAGAATGAGGTTTGTGCAGGGTAAACTAACAATGCCTGACTCTGAATCTTAATTTGGGGCCTCAGTTAAATCTCCTGCAGAGTCAAGGACTCTTCTGATTCCAGTTTGTGTTTAGTGATAGATGTAATCTTGATGAATATTGCTTACTGGTGAAGTTGAGGAATATCACACTCGGCTTTTCTTTTACCACTGTGGTTTTGATGTAAGAAAGCAAAATTTGCTAAGTTAACTTCTCAAATTGAAGCAAATGAGGCCCAACATGGTTGTCATCACTAGTGGTAAATGACCTTACAAGTAAGCAGATGGGAACTGAATTGTGTTTTCAGGTTTTGTTTTTAGTATGTGATATTCATTCATATCCAGCTCTTTATTACATAGCTCCAATGTTAAAATGATTTACATAGGCTGAGCTGTGGACAAAATTGAAGAAGGAAAGAAGCTTGCAGTAGGCCTAAGCTTTGGGGAAATTTTTTAAGGGGATCTAAAAAAACGTTTTTAGAACATGTAAAATGTTTAATGGGGAAAGTTAGAAAAGAATTCTTTTGTAAAGTAATACCATGCTAATTATTGGCTTTTAGTACGTAAAGCCATGGTTGCTTTAGCAAACCTCTGCTACCATTTTGCGGGAGTCAACCAGGAACCTTGCACAGAGTTGACAACATTGTGTTGACCAGAATGAAATGAAGATAACCTATTCCACTAGTTTATCTCACCCCCTAATTTTTCTCACTGGCATAAATTTTAAATTCCTGATTTGATTTGTCAATAAGATCTTGGCTTACATATGCTCTGATTTATAGGTAGCATCCAAATTATATAGTATAACCTATTTTTCTAGCTTCAAAATTTAGTAATGCCCTATTGATGAAATACCATGTCTGTATGTTTGCTATATAGTGTTATCTGATTAAAAATCTCTAAAAAGAATCCAAGCATTCTAAGAAAAAGGTAAATTTACTATTGCATGGTAGAGAAATTTTTTCTTTCTTAAATACAATGTTACTATAAGCTCACTAAACTGAAACTCTATATGACAAAATAAAATTAGAAAAAAAAATTTGCCCTGGAGTTGTGAATTATATACAACTTTTAAAGAATTTACCCCAATTACTCAAAATTCCCAGGAAATTACAAGGCCAAAGAATAGTTATTTGACTTCCTACACTGGTACGAAGGGGACAGGAGTGAATTAACATAGAGCTATTTTGCTCTGAATAATAGCAGGTAAGGCTAATATTTTTAAAGCTACAGTATACATCTTCTTTTAACTCTGTAGAATATGTAAGATTTTGATAGTCTGTAGTATGCCAAAATGCAGAAATATAAATAAAATCATTCAAAGGGAGTCCTTTCTTTTTCTACCACTTAGGGGGCTACATTAAGGATGGGTAATCTTTCCAGAAATAAAGTCAAAAGGTAGTTATTAAAATATACTTGAGTATGCCTGGGTCCAGTTGTAAAGAATAGAAAAAATTATTAATGAATTAATTAAGTACTTTATTAAAGGAAATGATATCTGACCACAGGAAACTTGTTTGTTGTTTTGATATGAAATATCCTCACCACAGGCCTTTTCTTAAAACACCTGATAGCTTCCAGAGATATTTTTTAGGTTGTCTCGCAAACAACAAAATAACTGTCTTTAATAACTATTGCTGTTAAGATGTGCAGGTAGTTAAGATTCCCCCAATTTAGTTACATTTGAACTCCTAAACACTGTTAAACAATGCAAAAAACAAGAAAAAAAATGGCAGTATTAGTCATCTATCTTTCTAGGAAGATACTTTCTAACTGAATTTTTCTTCCAGAATTGCACATTCATGGGAAAACAAGAAAAATAGAAGTATTAATCATCTATCTTTCTGGGAAGATACTTTCCAACCATTTTTTTCCTTCCAGGATTGAACATTGATGTTTTTAGTCCTAAATTTGAAAATTACCTTTTTAAGCCATCAGCCATTTTAGTAATTATTTAAAGGCATGTCTCAAGCTTTGGGCAGAACTTCATTCTTCTTTTTAGATGTTTACTCTAAATCATATATATCATGTCATAGACCAAGGAGAGATATGCAAATCATTTTATAAGTGATTGCTATGATTAGGATTCAAGCTGAGTTTCAGATCAACTTGTTCTTAACAAAAAGAAGACGAAAGAGATAGTAATTTAATGTTATGTATATATGGTTTGAAAACAAATCATGTTTATAAAATATCTATCTGACTTTCTAGGGAGGTAGTCTTTAGGGGCAAAAATTAGTGCATTATAAATACTTTATCATTTAATATCAACCAAAATACCATCTCAAGCTAATTCAGACACTGAATTCCAGACATACCTGCTAGGTATTATTTATTTCTAAGCATGTTGCCTGATGTGATTGCATTTGCACTGAAAAATTAAAAGAAAACATATATATTATGAGTTATTTATATATCTTCATCTAGACATCTGTTCTATATTCGTGTATAAAGTTTTTAGCATCATAATTTTTATTCAAGAAAATGTTCTGATGAAATTTTAATTATATGTCCTCAAATTTTACATTTTTACTCTAGTAAATAGATGTTTTTAGTTATCTATGCAATTTATTTCTGAATTCATACCAATATTTGATTGTCATGGTACAAAATATATGATACCCTTTGACTTTTGCTGGAGTTTAAAGGTTTTATAATCTTTAGCATAAATGCTTATGACTGTTTTGGAAAGACATTTAAAACCCAAAACAAACTTTTGAAAGTATTTGCCACATTTTCCCATGCCTATTTCATAAATTCCAACTTTTTTGATGATTTTTGGTATTTTTAAGATCCATTGCACATTGCACTAGAACACTGCAGTCCACAGTAGACTGCAACTCTCCATGAAATCAAATCTGTCTTTCACTTCCAGATTATTCCACTAAGTTAGGACAAAACTTGAACAGATCAACCTATTAGCTATCCATCAGATAACTTTAAAACAATGTATAATCTTCTTTAATTTTCTACATTCTCTCCCCAATTTAGCTGTATTTGACTTACTAGACACTTGATCATCAAACTGAACCTAGTCTAACTTATTTTTCTTTTGCTGTCTGTTTTACAAGCTTTTTAAATATTGATCTCTGGTGGTGTTTAAAACAAGGTACTCTTCTTCAAGTTTCAATATAAGTTTTTGGATCATTTGGGTTCTAGTTTCTTGCTTGGTCATCTGTTGGTTTTTTTAAGTTGATTTGTAATTCCCAAAGAGTTATGCATACAGCAATAAAATGATTAATATGCCTCCCTTTTCTGAATTGTGAGCAAGGGGGAGGTTTTAGACTGTAAGAAATAATTTCAAGTTATCAAATCTAGTTATTATTATCATCCTGTATTGGAGGAGATATCATTCTTTTATTTTCACAATGTTAAAATATGTTTTCATTCTCCATTTCTTAGATATCTTTTTTAATGTGTACTGAGGAAGCTACTCTCTGGACCACTACTTACAGATGCTAGAGCCCAGGCTTGACCAGGTGGTTAGCCCCACACGAATGAACAGATGATAAAAAGTTTGCATTTTTAGTTTTTATTTGATACTTGTAGCCTCTTTATACTTTTACCTTTCTTTCTTTCATACTCTGCATTTTTTATTTTTCCCTATACCCTCATTTTATTTATTTTAAAATGTATTTTCTTCTTTTTTGCCTTTAAAATCATACCCTTTCATCTTCACTGGGATGCATCTCCTTCTGTTCTCCAATGCCACTTCCAGACTATTATCAACTTCATCTTGCACAAAATCTTACCTCTTTCAGACTCATATGATCCCTTCCCTCTCTTCTGTTTTTCATAATGTCTCTACTTTTAATGAAGACTCCAATATCCTGGCCTAAACTCTTTTGTGACTTTCCCAACTTCTGAGAGTGTTCATAGTAACTTAAACATCCAAATCGATGAACCAACCAAGACCCAGATTCTCATTTCTATACCTCCATTTCTCCCCTCCACTCAGCTGCCATTTTCTTGTCATAACCTGGCATTCTGCTACCTTGAATGCCTCTGTTTCTGTCCCTGCAGGCTTTGACCATTTCCGTCTCATCTTTAATTGGTTCACATTATTGTCATTCCCCACACCATCAAAGCTTCAATGTGTTCCCTGTCAGCTTCACCTGTCTGTCTAATCTAGCTTCAGGAGTCCAACTAGAGTCACCTCTTTGTCAATGCATTCAACCTCCTTGTCCTGCCCCCTCTCTCTCTCTCACCCCAGAACTTTTGCCTTCCATCCCTATCTGCACACAAACAGCTAAACAAATTATCCAAGTGAACTGACTTTTAAATATTAAGCACTCAATCTCAAAGCTCACCATAATATTAGATACTTCTCAGGAATCCTATCTGCTTCTCTTATAGATGTCCCATCTCATCATACTAGATTGCTACTGTGCATCTTCTCTGTTCTCAAACCTCCCACAAGCCCTCTTCCTTTCTCATTCTTTGTGGATGGTCTAATCCTATTGTTCATTGAGCAAAACAAAAGTCATCCATTTTGAATGCATTCATCTTCCTCTGCCAAACCTCCATATCTACCTGCACTCACACCCATCTTCTCCTCCTTCCCATGGGCTTATTCCATAGAGTTTGTGGCCTACTCATATGAAAACACAGTCCTCCAGTTCTGCTCAAATCAAGGACTTTGCTTCTTCCCTAATAGTCTCTTTCCTATTCTTTTTCCTCTCTCTCTCTCTCTTTCTGTTTCCTCTCCTTCTCTCTTCTCTCTCTTTCTTTCTCTTTTCTGTGTCTTTCTCCCATCTTTCCTGTCTCTCCACTCTCTCTTTTTATCTCCTCTATCTCTCAGTCTCTTTCTATGTCCTCTATCTACTCTCTCTCTCTTCTCTCTTCCTTCCCTTCCCTCTCTCTCCCCAGAACATTTCCATCTGCACCCCTCCTTGTGGCTAATGCCTCATTTGTTTGCTTGTTTTGTTAGTCTTCTTGAGGTTTATGTACAGATGCTGCCTTGTCTTTTTCATGTCCCATCAGACTTCAAAGTCCTCCTATCTGTTTGTCATAATGGTCCTTACCAAGCGTGCCTAAGATCTATGCATTGCAAGCACAAGGCCTACTTTTCTGCTCTCCCTCTTTCTTAATCTCTGGGAAAAAGTCTTTAAAAAGGAACACTCTCTCTTCCTTGAAAAACTCTTGTGTCTTGGCTTGTGTAACACCATTCTCTCCTGATATCTCCTGTATTTCATCAGCCAGTCTCACTCATTCTTTTTCCCTTTTTACTCATTTATTCAATCCAAAGTTTGGTCCCCAGCCCTCTTCTCTTAACACTTTACACCAACTCTATGAGACCTCATCAAGATCCGTTTTTATATGTTCAAAATTAAACTTATAATTTTACCTCCAGAGTTTCCCCATTCCAATAATTATTACCCCATGTACCCATTACTCAAGCCAGAAACTACTTTTTCTCCTCTCACTACCCACATTTTATTCATTAGAAAGTTCTGTTTATTTTATAACCAAAATATATATTGACCCATTTAGTAGTTTGTGTTATTCCATTATGAAACTGCTATGAAGATACTATCTAAGACTGGTTTATTTAGAAAAGAAAGAGGTTTAACTGACTCACAGTTTTGCATGGTGAGGAAGGCCTCAGGAAACTTACAATCATGGTGGAAGGCAAAGGGGAAGCAGGGACCTTCTTCACATGGCAGCAGGAGAGAGAAGTGCAAGCAGGGGAAAGGCCAGATGCTAATAAAACCATCAGTTGTCATGAGAACTCATTCACTATCATGAGAGCAGCATGGGGGAAACTGCCCCCATAATCCAATCACTTCTTTCTTTTGACACATGGGGATTATAATACAAGATGCGATTTGGGTGGGGACACAGAGCCAAATCATTTAATAGTTTTAATCCTTATCTGTCACTACCCTAATGGCAACTGCTTCCACATCAGCCTTCTTCAAACAATTTTCCATAGATGAACCTATGTGACCTTCTAAAATATTAATCAAGTTGAGTCAACCCCCCATTTTAAATTTTTCAATGGATTTCCAGTAAATGTTCCAGAAAAGCCTGCAGGGAGCTGCCTGATGTATCATTGATCCACAGTGGATGACAGTAACTTGCACTATGGTTGTTGTCATGGAAAAGTTGAAAAGAAATGAATTAAGAATGTTTTGGGTTTTGCAAATGATATTCACTCTGCATGAACCATTTGCCTCCTCACTTTTATATGGCATTATCCTTTCATCCTTCAGGTAGCAATTAAAATATTATTTCTTTATATATTCTTTCCTTGATCAATGTTTTCACATACTCATTCATTTATTCTGTGGATATTTACTGAATTCCAAATAGTTATACCAAGCAGTGGTAAGTGACATGACAGTGAAAGATAAAGTCCTCCTCATGGAGTTTATGATGAGGATAGAATGGAGATGAAGGAAGTCTGATAATAAAGAACTGAACAGTAAGTATGTGTGGTAGCTTAGATGACTGTAAATGAACAAGGAAAAAGCAAGGTAGAATAATTTAGGAGAGGGATTGCAGGGCAGGAGGATGCACTTTGATGTAGGGTAAAGGAGTCAGGGTTCTATTAGAAGATAATATTTGAACAGAGATTTAAAGAACATTAAGGAGCAAGCCATGTGTCTACCTGGGTACAGGACATTTCAGACAGATGGCTATTCATGGAAGAGGAAGATCTCTGTGTGTGGAGAGATTAAAAGAAGGAAAGCAGCAGGAGGTAGAATCTCAGAGGAAAGGGGATTGAGTTTGGCCTTGCAGGCCATTATAACAGACTTATTCTGAATGTAATGGAGAGTTACTGGAGAGCTGGGGCTGAAGAGTGCTTTGTTCAGGTTTTGAGTTGTTTATCTGTTTGTTTGTTTTGAGACAGGGTCTTGGTCTGTCATCCAGGCTGGAGTGCCATAGCACAATCACAACTCACTGCAGCCTCAACACCCCAAGCTCAAGAAATCCTTCCACCTCAGCCTCCAGAGTAACTGGGACTACAGGCACAAGCCACCATGGCTTCCTAATTTATGTGGTTTTGGTAGAGACAGAGTTTTGTAATGTTGTCAAGTTTAGTCTTGAACTCCTGGGATCGAGCAATCCTCCCGCCTTGGCCTCCCAAAGTGCTGAGATTATAGGCATGAGTCACTGTGCCCAGGCCAGATTTGTATTTTTAAAGGAACAGTCTACCTACAGTGTTGGCACTATGGGAAGGAAGTCACAAAATCAAGAAGACATATTTAAAAGCTACTGAAATAATCCAAGTGAATGAGTAAACAAAAACAGAACAAATGCCCTGGACAGATCAATAAAATAACACATAGAAAAAAAATAGGAAAAAAAGGCAGTGAGCAACAGATTAAATTTAAATCTCACTAAGTATTGCCTTGAAAATACTCAAACATAATAAGGACAAATGAAAGGCCAGGTGCAGTGGCTCACTCCTATAATTCCAGCACTTTGAGTGCCCAAGGCAGGCAGATCGCAAGGTCAGGAGTTTCCGACTAGCCTGGCAAACATAGTGAAACCTCGTCTCTATTAAAACTACAAAAATTAGCCAGGGGTGGTGGTGGGTGCCTACAGATCCAGCTACTCGGGAGGCTGAGGCAGGAGAATCAGTTGAACGTGAGAGGCAAAGGTTGTGGTGATCTGAGATCACGCCACTGCACTCCAGCATGGGCAACAGAGCAAGACACTGTCTCAAAAAAAAGTAGATAACTAAATAAATAAATACAAATGGAGAATGTTAGGTTGGTCAAAAAGTTTAGAAATGATGCCAGTTTCTTGTCATCTATTTGGTTACTGAGTTCAAATAAGACAAATTCCAGCTGACCCTGAGAGACTTACTTCTACTAGTTTTACAAAGAAAGCCTAGTGGCTTGGTATATCCCAGTCTGTGCCTGTTTCTCAGTCATATATCTTCTCTCTTCAGCTCTTATATATAAAACCTAGGAAAAAGAATTTCTACCTCCAGAACTTTCTCAAAACTACTCAGAATGTCAAGCTCTGATTCTTACCAAAATTTGCATCTGATTTGACCCAGAATATAACTTGTCACATTTTTTCAAAGAAAAATGTTTTGATCCATTCAATTCATTAACTGTCTGTCTCAAAGTATATGCCAGTTTCAACTTAATAAATTATAGACATGTAATTATCAGATTGTTTTGATAACTGCCTCATATTGGGCTCACCCAAACGTAAACTCTGAGACAGGATTAGAGAGCAATTTTGGAAAGAGGTAAAGGAACCACTGGTAGGAAACAGGGAGATGAAACATGCAAGGGAAAGCTACCAATAAATTGTATCTATCAAGCCAGTTACAGCCATGGGCAATCGAAGCTTAGTCTTCCTGGGGAAAACACGGGGAGCCAGTGTAGTACATGCTCTGTGGTTAAGCCATCAGAGAAATAAGGGGGATAGTATATTTATGTATACCAGCTACCATCAGTTAATAAGTAAGGTCCACTTCTGGAGATAGTTAATTCCCTGTCCCTGCTGCACAGGTGGGCAAAGTGGCTTTGGTATCAGTGAAGTGAAAAAATGCAGGAACTGGCTCTTTGGGTGAGTGGACACTAAAATTACAGGAGAAAAATATGAAAAAAGTCTCGTCAAGGTCTGTTACAGCTATTGGGATATTGCATCACTCTGGTAATAGATGCCATAAGAAACCTCAGAATTTGTTGACATGACAAGCCTTTCTTGAACATTTCCCAGTAAATAAGAATGGGTCAAATGCTGCTATATTGATAGATGAGGTAACAAAATCTGATGGTGTGAAATAGAAAAGTTTTTAGGTCCCTCATGTCATTAACTTGTGCCTTCACGGTTTTACATCATTTATGTTAATTAGATGCTTGCCCCCCATACAGTGCTTAGACATATCATCATTTTTCTACAATACGTGACTTGGCTTTACCATTACACACTTAGCAATGTCCTGAATAATTGGTTTTGGTATCTACTGCGAGAAGGAAACGCTATGAATTCATCAAAGTTACAATTTTTTGTAAACATAACCCCAATATTTTAATACGTTGTTCCTAATAACATCATATCAATATACCCAGTCTCTGAGACATGTTCTTGCACTTAACATACATTAAAAAGCACAACAGGCTAGGTGCGGTAGCTCACTCTTATAATCCCAGCATTTCAGGAGGCAGAGGAAGGCAGATCACTTGAGGTTAGGACAGTCTGGCCAATGTGGTGAAACCCTGTCTCTACTAAAACTACAAAAATTGGCTGGGTGTGGTCCCAGGTGCCTGTGGTCCCAGCTACTCATGAGGCTGAGGCAGGAGAATCTCTTGAACCCGGCAGGCAGAGGTTGCAGGGAGCCAAGATTGCTCCATTGCACTCCAGCCTGGGCAACAAGAGTGAAACCCTGTCTCAAAAAAAAAAAAAAAAACCACACACACACACACACAACAAAAAATTATATTGCCATTAGTTGGGTATGCAAATAGTTAAAAAATGTCGAATTAATGTGTGATGTGCAAAGGTCGGCATAGCAACAATAGAAACTTGTTGAACACACGAATAAATGCAGTCCCTTTATACTCATATGGTTCTAAAACCCATCCTTGCATTGACAGTCTATAAGAGAACTGAGATCCTCAATTATATCATATTGCTTATCAAATTCTCACCATTCCAGACAGAACTGGTTTTTCCAAACTGCTCATTCATGTGATGGCACCTTTTCAAACTGAATGACAATATGTCTACATTTTGTGAGATTGTAAAACATGTCTTGGCCAATTGTCTTATGTGCATTTTAGGAAAAGATGAGTTATGTAAAAATTTAGATGTAACTAGTTCTTAGATAGAGCTGTAGGGTAAAGAAAAAATAGGTTTTTTTTTACATAAACATTTTTCAAATATTTGAAAAATAGAGTCCAAAAAAAAAGATTCTAAAATTGGAACAAGAATGGGTATTTCTTCACATTAAAAAAAAAATCGTAATAGCAGCAGAAATGATTCCCAGAACTCTGTGAGATTGATAAATAAAAACAACTTATAAAAGATCACCTGATAGAGGAACTCAAACCTATGGAAAGATTCTGAACCTGCTGAACTGAAGAACAGGTGTTCTTCTCTGGAAGATAAATATAATTTTTCTCTCTCATGGAGCAAGAATGTTTTATCAAATATTCCTGCAACTTAGGTTAAGAGTATGTCAAAATATATATTCATCTTTGCTCTCTGTTCATGACCAGTGAATAATTTTTGGACTGCTACCTTTATTGCTGGGGCAAGCAGAGGGCATCCTTTGCAGAGATGATATGAACTTCACAGTTATTGCCCATGAAAAGAGCTATTACTTACTGTAAATAAACTAATATTTTGCTTTATACATCATATTCTATAAACTTAACTATTGAGAATTCATTACTAAGGAAACTAATCTAATTTCAGTATTAAGACAGAAATAAACATGAGACTGGAAAACTGGAATATAAGCCTTGCAGTGGGGAAACTCAAGACAAGTGACATAATTAATAGGTTTCATTATTAATGGAGCTCAGTCCTCCTTAGAAAAGTCCTGGAAACCTTCTGGCTGGCCTTCCTTTACCAACTCTTTTACAAGACTAAAAGACTTCCTGTGACAACATTATGATTTGTGAAGTAAGGATAATGAATTTCATTTTTAAGATGAATAACATATTTAGTAGTCATTAAAAGCCAAAGTAAAAATTAGAAATTAATATAATATAACACATCAAATACAGAGGAAAAATTATCACAAATTATGTGTTATGGACCAGAGTAGCAAACAAAAAAAATTATATTTAGTGATTATCATTAAAAATTAGATATTAACATATAGAAAAAATCCATCAGTATATGTCATACTATTAGTTTTAATAAACGAGTTAAAGATATAAACACTAGAAATTCTGAAAGGCAGAACACACTCAAAGTGGATAAATTATGTGCTATTTTCTTTACATAAAAGTATCAAATTTAATCTCCCCAAATTTACTAGAGAGGGAAATAGATAAGGAAATTATAATTTAGAGAGCTAAATTAACTCGCTTATAGAAACAAACTAAGTTAATAGAAGTTTTGCAATTTGAAACAGATGTAAATTTGTATATGTTTTAATATGCCTCAGTGACATAGTACATTTACTTTAACTGTAAATAGGGATATAATTATAAAACTCTTGACAAACTAGGAATAATTAGGAATAAATAAGTTAACAAATATACATTTTAACTTCTACAAAATAAAAACTAACAAAGATGATAAAAATGAAAGCATTGA